AAAAATTTGATGTATTTGATACAGCACCATTTACCTCACCCTCTATGCAGTATAAAATTAAACCAATTGCATTTTTAGCTGTGTAACATGGACCACATTTCAGCTGTCACTTTGAAACACAGAGTGGCAAATCACATAAGGATGTTCAGCAGAAGCCATAGAGATGGCACATGCTGAAATTCCATATTTAGGCTCCCATTCAGATCCAAATCTGCAGTAGGAGCCTATAACTGCAGTGAGATCTTATCTAAGCAGCCTGGAATGCTGAAATATTTGCATCTGAAATTCAGCCTGCCCTCCTCAGTCAACAGTTGACTCAAAAATTTTTGGTTTATCTGAAGAAAATAGGAGTTTGGTTTTATTTCATGGACATCAGTGATTTCAGGTAAATTACTCCTGAGTTACAACTCTGGAAGGAAAGACAAAACCCAAGAGTTCTGTAACACTGAGGTGAGGGAAAGGAACCTTATTCTGCTATTGAAACCTCTGAAAATAATCTAAATTTGGGAAAGACCAAATTGTCAGTCTCCCCAGCTTACCTTTCTTAAGAAAGAGGAGATTCAAGGCAACCTTTGGGAATAGCACAGCATTTCAGCTTTGCTGGAATCTGAAATGCAGGGAACTCTCTGAACTTTGGGCCTGCAAGCCAAAGTTTAGAATTAAACACAAGATTTGATCTGAGACTTTAGAAAAGGCTTCCAAACTTAGGTGCTAGAAGCAAGAATGTGGATTTACAGTTTAAAGCAGAGACACATTAAAGTAAGTAGAAAAAAGTTTAGAGTTGAGTACAGTCCTGTAGGTTTGTGTGTCAGAACATGATTGGCTAAGAAAGCTCAGAGTCCATAAGATGAAATATTTAAAGATTAAGTAAAAAACATAAATATCCCTGTTCACACTGTTTTATTAGTTAATAAGTGATTAAGAAGTCTTAGTCTTATAACTAGAGGTCTTGAGACCTTCTGAGCCATGCAGTGAAGATGTGAGCTGAACTCACCCTTCCTGCCTATGTAGAACATAGAAAAGTAAAATCACACAATCTGAAAAAAACTCAAAATCCCATCTCTAAATTAATTCAAAATTCCTTCCAAATCCCCACAAGCCTCCCATCTGCAGGAATCATCTTTAGGTTTCCTGTCAGGCTGCTGGAGCCTGGGGCACTTCCAGCGCTCCTTGCTCCGCGCAGAGAAGCATCTGGGATGGATGGATGGATGGATGGATGGATGGATGGAAGGATGGAAGGATGGATGGATGGATGGATGGATGGATGGAAGGATGGATGGATGGAAGGATGGAAGGATGAATGGATGGAAGGATGGAAGGATGGATGGATGGATGGATGATGGATGGATGGATGGATGATGGATGGATGGATGATGAATGGATGGATGATGAATGGATGATGGATGGATGGATGGATGGATGGATGGATGGATGGATGGAAGGATGGATGCATGGGGGATGGATGGATGGATGGATGGATCCATGGATCCATGGATGGATGGATGGATGATGGATGGATGGATGGATGATGGATGGATGATGGATGGATGGAAGGATGGATGGATGGATGGATGGATGGATGGATGATGGATGGATGGATGGATGGATGATGGATGGATGGATGGATGGATGATGGATGGATGATGGATGGATGGATGGATGGATGATGAATGGATGGATGATGGAAGGATGATGGAAGGATGGTGGATGGATGGTGGATGGATGCATGGGGGATGGATGATGGATGGAAGGATGGATGGATGGATGGATGGAAGAATGGATGATGGATTGATGGATGGATGGATGGATGGATGGATGGATGATGGATGGATGGATGGATGTCAATCAGCATCTCCTGTGCCTGACCCCGTGTTCCTTCCCCGCAGCAGGAGGGCACTGACCGAGCACCAGCTCCTGCATGACAAAGGGAGGGCGGTGCAGGGGCTGAAGCGGCTGCTGTGGCTGCAGCACGCCCTGGGTGCCGTGCACACGGCCAGCAGCAGGGACACCCCGCTCCCCAGCGCCAGCTGGGACTCGCAGGAGAGACAAGATCCCTCTGATTTCAACAGCAGCGACAGAGAGGAGGCTGCCAGCCTGCTGAGGATTCCAGCTTCCAGCCAGCTGCTGGAACAGATGGAAGCTCAGGGGCTCCTCCCACTAAAGCAGCTGGATGGGAGGATCCCAGAGGGTAACTGGAACCCACAGCACCTTTTCAAGCCACTCTGACTACGCCCATCAGTGTCAGCTCACCCTCTGTCCTTGGCTTTACACGTGCACTGCTGGAGGGAACAGCTCCAGAACAAAGGGGAACAGCAAAATGAAAACCCTTAAGGGCACTCACTCCTCTAGTGCTCACAGAGACCCTCCCACAGAGGGTTAGGGTTAGGGTCAGGGTCCTCCCCCATCTGAGTACTCTGTGAGATCCAGAACTCCAACAGGTCCCTTCTCTTCCCCTGCCAGGGCCCTCCATCCATCCCACCCATCTCACCCATCCCATCCCATCCCATCCCATCCCATCCCATCCCATCCCACCCATCTCACCCATCCCATCCCATCCCATCCCATCCCATCCCATCCCATCCCACCATCTCTTTGGGATGTCCTAGGGATCCTGCAGCCAGCTGGAGCTCCTGGAGCTCACCCAAGCAGGAAGTTTGGGTCATTAATCTGCACATTCAGAGCCCAGTGTTTTGACCAAGAACTTTAACTCTGAACACAGGCTCTCTTCCATTCACACCTGCCTGCAGTAATGTCACACTCTGCTCTAGTAATCACTTTTCTTATAATTACAAAGGATTTTCCCTGCTCCTTCAGCATGCAGACTGTTTTAGGCATCTCAGACCCTCAGGTTTTCCTTCATTTTTTCAGGTAGAAGTTGGCAGTGATCCCCATTCAGCCAAAGCCCCAGACACCCACCTGGTTCTGCTGGTGGAGGAGATGAGAATGAGCTCTCAGGGTTCCTCTTTGAGCTTTTGTTCCACACTTCCTTTTCTTTCCTCAAGTGAAATCTTCTCCAAGAGCTCCCACAGCAGCAGGAAAACATTCACGAGGCCATTTGTGTTTCCTGGGAGGTACCACTGGATTTTGCTGTTCACCTTTGATAACCAACAGATCATGTCTGTCTAAGCAAAGCAAGGCCCAGTTTAACTGTAAAGTCAGTCTTTCAGAAGTTAAATCTGTCATGTGTGTTACAAATATATCAGCTTTTCCATTGTGTAGGGACACTGCTTTAAATCCTGAAAAATTCCTCTGTTGCTGATAGACTTCAACTGTGCTGAATGCAGTTCTCAGTGATTAAAATGTCAGTAATAAAAACCCTTTTCACCCTCTTAATTGCACCTGGTTTTTAATTTTCTTTGATAGAAATGTAAATAAAATGAAGCACAACAACATTTTCCCAATGTCTCCACACATCTGTGATGAGTATTTGTTGTGTCACTCCTCACAGCTCCCTATTAGGTTCCCAAGGCCAGTCAAACCATTATTGAAGCTGATAGTTTCAGATATTTCAGGTGAGCTGGGAGGGTTAGGGATGAAAACCTGAGTTTGTTGAGCTGGGATGTGGGAACTCTTCCTCATCAGAGTCAGAGGATGGAGCCCCAGGGACCTGACTGTGACAGCTCAAAGCTCTGGGAAATGATCCTGTCCTGCCCAGCACACTGTGGATCAGCCTCTCTATCCCTATAGATGCAGTTTCCTCAGGAACTGAGGGGTTGTTTCCTTTATCCCTGAGAGGCAGAGGTGGCTTGGTGGCCTCTGTCCCTGGCACACCTTGCTCCTGTGGCTATGGGTGATGTGTATCACCCCTATGGGGATGGGAAAAGCCAACCTCTGCTCCAGGGTGAGCCCAGGCTGTGTGCTGGGAGGCAGCAGGTCACAGCACCATTGTGGGAAGGAGGGAAGTTGGAAAGGCAGCCAGGACAGGGCTTCCCATGCCGGGAGGAGCATCCGAGAGGCATGGCAGTGTTAGGTACACAGTTTGTGGTAACTGGGAGAGGGGCTGTGGCCTCATCCCAAGGGCTACAGGTGTGCAGGTCAGGTGAACAGAACTGAAGGTAATGAGCCAGGGAATGCCCAGGTGAACTGAGCAACCACAAAGGGAAGGAATCTACGAGGCAGACAGGATCTATGGGGCACAGGAGATGTATAGGGCAGGATCTATGGGGCAGAAGGAATCTATGAGGCAGGATTTCAGGATCTATGGGGCAGACAGGATCTGTGAGGCACAGGGGACCTGTAGGGCAGGATCTATGGGGCAAAAGGAATCTATGAGGCAGGATTTCAGGATCTATGGGGCACTGGGGATCTGTAGGGCTGGATCTATGGGGCAGAAGGAATCTATGAGGCAGACAGGATCTATGGAGCAGAAGGAATCTGTGAGGCAGGATTTCAGGATCTATAGGACACAGGGAATCTATATGCAGGATCTATGAGGCACAGGGGATCTGTAGGGCAGGATCTGTGGGGCAGAAGGAATCTATGAGGCAGGATTTCAGGATCTTTGGGGAAGACAGGATCTGTGGGGCACAGACGATCTATAGGACACACAGATGAAGTGCATGTATCATAAGGATTTAAAAGGTTGTGCTGAAGAACAAGAAAGGTCAGACTCTTACACCTTCTGAAGTGACATGATGCTACTCTGCATGGGCTCGAAGCCCTCTGCTGTGGTATGGTGTTATTCTTCTGAAACTGCACGGCGGCACTCTGTGTATCGTGGGCATCTCAACTGTGCCATATGCCGGGACACCGCAGGCAGGCCGGCGCCTCTGGCCGGACCAGAGGAGAGCAGGAGCCGCTCCGGGTCGCTCGGAGCCCCGCGCGGTTCGGAGCCCCGTGCTCGGGGCGGGCGCGGCGCAGGCGCTGCGGGCGGGGGCGGGGGGGCGCGGGGCTCCGCCCGGCGGGGCGGGCCGGGCGCGGGGCGCCTGCGCTGCCGTAGCGGTCCCTGCGCCGCCCGTCCCGGCCGGGTCGCTGTGGGTGCGGGGGGCGGCGGTGGCCCCGCTCCGAGCCCCCCACCCGCCGCTCCGCAGCCGGGACCGCGCCCCGCCTGCCGCTGCTGCCGCCCCTCCCGGGGGCTCCGGGTAAGCCGCTCCCGCCTTGTTCCTACGGGCGCCCCCCACCCAGCGCTCCGCATCCTCTCCCCGCCCTCCTCTTTCCCTCTTTCCCTTTTTCCCTTTTTCCCCGCGGGCCCTTCGCCTTTCTCGGGGAGCGGAGCCCGGAGCGCTCAGCGCGCCCGGGGCCGGCGGGGCTCCCCTGCTCCTCCCGTGTTGGTGGCTCGGGCCCCCTTTGTCCGCTCCGGGGATGCTGCCGGGCCCCTCCGCCGCTCGGGCCGTGCCGGTGTCACCTCCCCGCCGGTGTCACCTCCCCGCCGAGCCCCGCTGCGGGGGCGTCCAGCCCCGCTCCGTCCCGCCGGCCCCGGGCTGGTCCGTGGGCTCTGAGCGCCCATCCCCGTGGAAGAGGCCTCGAGCACCAACAGGTGGTTTGGCACCGATACTTTCTCTTTTGTTCCCCTTCCCTTTTTATTTCCCCTGCACCTCTTTCTGTCAGAGAATTTTCCTGGTTTGTTCTCTAGGAAATGAAAACCGCCCGTGGGTTTTAGAGCTCCCACTGACAGCCACAGAGTGTCTGACCCTCAATTCCGGGGGGCAGCCCCCGTTTCTGGCAGTGTAAGCACTCACCTCTGGGGGTGTAACCCCATATCCAGGGGTACTCGCAGAGTGTGACCCCTTCCACTCGTGTCTGTCCCTCTGAGCTGCTCTTGCATAAAGCCATGATTCCACCTCGCATAATTCCATAATTCCATCTCAAAAGCCACCCAGCTGGAGATGGTCACCAGCTCCTGTCCCTGAGGAACCTGTGAGGACAGCACACACGTAGCTGCTGTCTGGGAAGGAGGTGGTTTGCAGGGCCCTGCCTTGTAAAGATCTGCAAAAACTGAACAGAAAGAGTCATTTGAGCGTGTTGGCAGCACCCAGGGTTATAAAAATGGGAAATGTCTCACCTATTTTGTCTGCAATTTCTAGTAATAGTTGCAAAACTCTGTTACCTTACTGTGAGTTACGTGGTGTGCAGGAGAAGCAGGGTAAGGTGTAGTTGTACATTTGAAATCTTTGGGGTTTTTTTAAAGCATATCAGGAAATAGAGCTGGGATGTTAAATACACTGAAGCTGCTACACTCTAGTATTTATCTACTGTATTCTCAGAAACAAAGGAGATTAAAATACATATATCTTTCTTAGAAATAAATATGTCAGATACACTAGGGTTTGGGTTTTTGGATATTTTTTAAACTACAACTTGCTCAAAGGCAGTGATCCTCTGGATTTGACCAAATTTCTTTACTAGATGTTTTTCTAGTAAAAGTGCTTAAGGGCAACTAAATGCCCTTTTTGCTCGTTCCTCAGTTGCTCTCTTATTGGGATAACTTTCAGGATTTAGATAAATTTCACAGCAGAAGAGCCTGTAAGCAACTGGTGGAATTATTTCTGCAAGGGTTATGGGAAGAATAACTTCTGGATTAGATGTTTCAGTGTGATATTCCTGAATTTTGAGCATTCATTGAAGATAGAATGTGGTGGCAGCAATAAACATTTGCAGTGCTGGCTGCAATTGTGGTTTTTGAGGCACAAAGTTTCTTAAGTTTCCTTCCCTTTAATTTCAGATCAAAAAATGTTCAAAACAGGAAGTTTGACTTGTACCTTTTATTTTGTAAGACTTTTCCCTGCTTAGCTTAAGCTGGTGATCTTTGTTGTTAAAATCTGAACTCTGTGATTAAGCACCACTTAACGGGTATGGATTCTTGTTTCAAGATTATTTGTCATTTATAATGTTTGATGTTCATCCCTTCTCCTTTCCCACCAGCCATGGCCATGACAGGCCCTACACCGTGCTCATCCATGAGTAACCACACCAAGGAGAGAGTCACAATGACAAAGGTGACGTTGGAAAACTTCTACAGCAACCTCATAGCTCAGCATGAGGAGCGAGAGATGAGGTAAAAATCCTTCTTGTTTCCCTTCCATGCTGGATAACAGCCAAAAGTTATATTGAATGAATAATTTTGTTTTCAAAGCAAAAATAATAAAATCTTCTGGTTTGTGTTGGAAGGGACCTTAAAGCTCATCCAGTTCCACTCCCTGCCATGGCAGGGACACCTTCACTATCCCAGGTTGCTCCAAGCCCTGTCCAGCCTGGCCTTAGGCACTTCCAGGGATCCAGCGGCAGCCACAGCTGCTCTGGGCACCCTGTGCCAGGGCCTCAGCACCCTCACAGCCAAAAATTCCTTCCCAAATCCCATCTATCCCTGCCCTATGGCAGTGGGCAGCCATTCCCTCTTGTTCTGTCCTTCCAGGCTCTTGTCCCCAGTCCCTCTCCAGCTCTCCTGGATCCCCTTTAGGTTCTGGAAGGGGCTCTGAGCTTTCCCTTCTCCTCTCCAGGCTGGGCATTCCCAGCTCTCCCAGCCTAGCTTCAGCCTTGTAGCATCTCTGTGGCCTCCTCTGGACTCTCTCCAGCAGCTCCAGCTCCTTCCTGTGCTGACCCCAAGGCTGGAGTTCCCTCTGCAGGTGGGGTCTCACCTGAGCAGGACAGAGGGGCAGAATCCCCCCTCAAATGCTGCCCACACTGGGGGATCAGCCCAGGGCTCAGTGGGGTCTGCCCTGGGGCATGTCCAGCTCTGCCTCACCAGCACCCCCAAATCCTCGTGCCAGGGCTGCTCCCAGTCCATTCTCTGGGTTTTGCTGGGATTGCCCTGAGCCATGTGCAGATGTACAGGAGGACAATGCAGGGAGCAAGGAGGGGGTGCTGTGAGGGGTCACTCAGTGCTGGGACTGACCTGAACTTGGGCACCTCTTAAAGTCCAATCCAGCAATGCACCGCACTGAGCTGTGTGCCTTAACTTTGACTGGAACCCTCTAATTTGCTGAATATCCTCAATTGTGGGACTTCTGCTGTTCTCCCAGCTTGCCATGGAGGCTATAACCAGAATTTGGAAAATGGTTCAGTGTTGGTTTGGCTTTGCTGCTTAACAAGCTCCCCAATGCCTGCTCACTGCAAGAGCTGCAGAAATGAGGAAACAATTTAGAAATAAATACTAATGTGCAAAGATACTTGCTTCAAAGCTTCTGATGAGTAAAGACATACTGAGGTCCAATTCAGGCAGAAAATATCACTGATTTAATTAGTTTCTTTGTCCTCACAAAGCTCTTGCCTTTAAAATTTATTTATTCATTATGAGCACTGTTGTGTATTCCCAAAATCTCAATTTTTTTTCTGTTTAGGATCAAGACCTTGTCTGAACAAACAGACTGGACTTTATGAGTTACATGTTTTTTGTAACAACACATGTCTGTGGGTGTGTAATTTGGAGTTTAAATGGTGTTGACACTGTACCCTGAAGTGCAGATTGACCTGTTAGGGATATTTGGGGGAATTTCAGCATGGCTTTGGCATCGCTCAGTCCTGCTGAGCTGTTTAATTCTGTGTAATTCAGACTTTGCTGCTGGAGTTGTTGGTTTGAATGTGGGTTGGGGTCACTGGGCAGGGCTCACTGGTACCTGAGCATTTTCATTGTGCCTGATTCTGAAGTGATAACCCGAAATATTATCACATCACAGCAGCTGCAGAGAGCCCCAGGAGACAGGAAGAGGATCTTGCAAAGAATGACTTGCAGAAAGAAGGAATTTTTTAGTATATTTGTAATGTCCCAAACCACCAGACTGTTCAGCCAGCTGTTAATATGACTGGCACTGGGAAAAAGTTCCAGAGGATAATAATTACAAATGTCCCCTGAAGTCATTCCCCTTCTAAAGTCTTCCTTCCTCCTTGCTTTTCTCCCAAATAATCCCTTTGTACTAAGACTGTAAATATTTCTGATTCTTTAAGGAGGAGAACATGTACAGACAAGTTTCCTCTTCCCAAATATTTTGAGTATTTCAGGGATTAGGAAATCTAAAATAACTTTTCTCATCTTGCATGTGAATAGTTTGAGATGCAGAGAAATTTTAAATGTTTTTGAATACCAGTTCTTCCTGGAATAAGTGAAATTTTGGTGTTTAAATGCTTCTTATAGCTCTGGCCTGGAGTGACTTGCCCAGGTGTCAGAGAGAGATAAGAACAGAACCCAGATCTCTCAATTTGTATTTGTGTACAGCAAAAATGTACACTTGAATAACCTGTGGAACTCAGGGCAGGTTTAGTTTATTAAAACCAGAGAGGACAAGGTTGGAATTATAAAACTGCATAGTAGATTCTTCAAAATTAATTTCCTGTCTGAGTCTCTTGTACATCTTTACCCTCATAACTTGCTGGCACAAACCAGAGGTTATGGATATGTGCACCTTGTTGAGAAACAAAGTTAATGATTCAACCTGAGGTTTTTTCTAATTTAATTTAAAAAGCAAGGTTAATGATTCAGCCTTTATTTTTCTAATTTGTCTCTGCTCTAGACAAAAGAAACTAGAACAAATGATGGAAGAAGAAGGCCTAAAAGACGAAGAGGTAATGAATGTGGGAAAACTATCTTAATGGTTAAATACAAGAAATTTTCTTTTTCTAAATGGAGATCTGGGATCTTTCCTTGGAATTGCTGTGGTCCCTGTGGAAATCACCTGCAGAGCTCTCACTGGGGTCTCTTAAACTCTAGAAAAGGATCAGGAGGTCGGCACATGCACAGAAGGAGACGGAGTTCCTTCGCCTCAAGAGAACCAGGCTGGGACTGGAGGACTTTGAGTCTCTCAAAGTAATAGGCAGAGGAGCATTTGGAGAGGTGAGTCCAGAAAAAATGACTATATGTGTTTTTAACTGGCTCTGGTGTTTGTTAAAGACTTGCTCAGTTTATACAAGCAAAAGGAACAACCACAGATTGACTTTAGCTGAACAGACACGTGCAGCTGTTTTTTTACCTAATAAGTGCTGGTTCAAGGCATCCTGTGCTTTAAAGGAAACAGGATGATGTTGAAAATGATCTGATGGACAGCTAAATACAGGTTTGCAGTGGGCTTTAAAGGTGAACTTCTGGGGCTGGACTTAGGGAGAGGTGGAGGGCCTTGCATTCTCTTGTGGTGGCCTTCAGAGAAGGGGCTTTGGACCACCTGCTTTAGGTGTATATTTTTTTCTGATTTAGAGATGGGGTAATTGAGAGGTGTTATAAAAACTTTTATTCTATTTTTAGTCTCATGTAAAGGGTGAGACAATACAGATATTACAATTTACACCATCACAATCAGAAGTTAACTATTTCTTAATTACAATATATTATAAGTGTTTCTTGGTCTATCTGTTTTTGCTACCCTATGTTGTAAATGCTTTAAAGCTAGTTGCCTAAAATTACTCGTGGTGGGCATTATATATATAGATATGAAACAATGTATTTATATATTATTATACAAATATTCATATAATAATACATAAACACATTATACCTTGTATATTATACCTTGTATATTATACCTTGTATATTATACCTTGTATATTATACCTTGTATATTATATTATTTTACATTATATTATTTATATATTATATTATATTACATATAGTTTATATTATATAGAATATATAGTATATTATATTTATATATAATTATATATTATATATATTTACAATGTATTTCTTTTAAAACTTGTTTCTAATTGTATTTTTCTCTCAACAATGTTTATCCTATTCCATAATATTTCTAAGTTAATATTTCTTATCTCAAAGTTTCCATACAAATATATACTATGTAACTTTCTATTAAACTTTAAGAATTCTCTACAAATCTATTTCCTACAGGTGTGAATCACTCATGGTCCTCTGTTAAAATAACTGCAGCTCTTAGCATTTACAGGACTTTCTGCCATTGCTGTGCACTGTCTGATGGTTCTGGTGTTTTACAATCTGAGATGATTTCATGAAATGGAAACCAAGGGTTTGATACCAAACTCTGTCAAGAGCTGTGCTGGGTTTGATCAGTGTCTGTGTGCCCCCAGGTGCGCCTGGTGCAGAAGAAGGACACGGGACACGTTTATGCCATGAAGATCCTACGCAAAGCTGATATGCTTGAGAAGGAGCAGGTGAGGAACACCCCGAGCAGGAGCTGTGCCATGGATCACTCTGTGCTGTGTGCAGAGCAGGAATAGGCTTCTGTGCTTCAATAGTTAAAAAATCTGGGTTTTTTGTGTCTTTTCTTACAGAGGAAATAAGCCAGAAAAATCTCTGAATTCTCAAGGATTTCTTTTCAACACAAAGTCCTGTGCAAATGATTCAATGCAGGCTTCAAGGCCAGTGTTTTACTGCACTTCTGACTTACAGGATCAGATATAAATATAAAGATATTTATATCAGAGATACAACTGCAGGAGCTGTACCATGGATTACTCTGTGTGCAGAGCAGGAATAGGCTTCTGTGCTTCAATAGTTAAAAATTCTGGGGGGTTTTGTGTCTTTTCTTATAAAGGAAATAAGTCAGAAAAATCTCTGAATTTACAAGGACTTCTTTTCTAGTGGGCTCTTTCAACACAAAGTTCTGTGCAAATGATTCAGTGTTTTACTGCACTTCTGACTTACAGGATTGGATATAAATATCAGAGATACAACTGCAGGAACTGTACCATGGATCACTCTGTGGTGTGTGTAGAGGAGGAATAGCCACCTGTGCTTCAATAGTTAAAAATTCTGGGGGTTTTGTGTCTTTTCTTATAGAGGAAATAAGTGAAAAAAAATCTCTGAATTCTCAAGGACTGCTTTTCAACACAAAGTCCTGTGCAAATTATTCAATGCAGGCTTCAAGGCCAGTGTTTTACTGCACTTCTGACTTAGAGGATCAGATATTTATATCAGAGATACAACTGCTGGAATTCAGACTCAGAGACATAAAGCAGCAGCATTTAATGTATTGAAGGCTTTCCTTTGCTAGTACTTCTGGATATATAATGATTTGGGACAGTCATGCGTTCAGCACTGGGATAAAGCTCTTGTGTTTTTAAAAAGAGATCTAATGATTAGGTGTATTTGTAAAAAAATGAGATTTTTGTATATAGGATTTATATAATGTTCAGGTTTACTATATGTAGAGTTATATATATATTATATATAGGTGTATATATAATAGGTATAAAATATATGTATATAACCAACCACATGTTGAATATTCTGATAGTGTTTCTGCCTTTGTGCAGAAATTTGACTTTTGTCTTCTCAGAATTTGATGCTATTTAGAATAATACTTGAATTGCCTGTGAAATACATGAATTTAATAAAACTTACCCAATGCACTGTGTGTGTCCAGGTTGGCCACATCCGTGCAGAACGGGACATCCTGGTGGAGGCAGACAGCTTGTGGGTTGTGAAGATGTTCTACAGTTTCCAGGACAAGCTAAACCTCTACCTGATCATGGAGTTCCTGCCTGGAGGTAACTCTGGAATGCAAGGGCTGCTCTCCTTTTGTTTGGGGATTGGTAATTCCTTCATTAGAATGCAGTCTGGGACTGGAGTGCACGTGGTGTTTGTACTGTACATCTGGAAGGGAACAAGATTTCTGCTTTTTAGGGTACTGAGGTGTTTGGGCAGGCTTGAGGTTTCCTGTTTGGGTCTTCAAGCTGCAGGTATTTAAACTTGGCTTTAATACTCTTCTATTTCCTGCCCTTGCTTTGCCCTAGCTGTCTATAGAGCCAGAGCATATCCAGGTTTGCAATCTCTGCTGGTTTTAGCTGAATGCAGCAGAAACAGCTTTTTTCTACAAATGTCTTCAAACTCAGTGAGAGTGGAGCCTGTGTGTTCACCTCTGGGGGGTTTCCAGGTGACATGATGACACTGTTGATGAAGAAGGACACTCTGACAGAGGAGGAGACACAGTTCTACATTGCTGAGACCGTGCTGGCCATTGACTCCATCCACCAGCTGGGATTCATCCATCGTGACATAAAACCAGACAACCTCCTCCTGGACAGCAAGGTATGGGCTGGGGAGGAGCAAAGAGGCCTTGTGACTGCTCATATTGACCTGAAGGGGTGTTCACAGTTGTGGAGGAAGATGGTGCTTCTTTATTTAGCCCTGTTCCTTCCAGTTTTTGAGGGGCATATCTGCCAGATTGCCAGGGAGAATCCCCAAAAGCCAGGAAAGACCCCAGCTCCACTCAGACCTTGAGCTCTTCTGACAGCTGTTTAAACTATTTTTGGCTGTTTCAGATGCAGTTTAAAGCACGTGCTCTCAGTTCCCTCTTAGGCAAAGCTGTTTCCCTTTTCTCTCACATCTGTTCCACTCCCACTTGCCAGCTCTGGTGGTACCAAATGTGAAGGACGTGGCTGTTCCAGTAGCCAGGCTGAGAGTGGAGAACCTCCCTCAGGATCAGGGTGTACCCCTGAGGGCTGCCCAGGCTACCTGGTTATTGCAGGCACTTTGCAGAAAGCCCATTTGTTTCAGTTCCTGTTATTTCACACTCCAAGTTTGCCTAAAATTAAGATTTCTTGGAAAGAGTTTGCTAGCAGTAAATAACGAGTTTCCCACTACTGTGTAATGCACTGTTGGAATTACTGCAGAATCCCAGGATGGTTTGGGTTGGAAGGGACCTTGAAACTCATCCTGTTCCACCCCCTGCCATGGCAGGGACATTTTCTGCTGTCCCAGGGTGCTCCAAGCCCCATCCAACCTGGCCTTGGACACTTCCAGGGCTGGGGCAGCCACAGCTTCTCCAAGCAGTGTGCCCAATTCAGAATGTTCACCTCTAGACATGATTACATTTAGGGCTTTGAAAAGGAGGTGTATTTAGAGGTGTATCTATTTTATAGATACACCTCTAAAATTGCTTGTGGTCAGTGTGGTCATGTTATGCACCAGGACAGATTCAGTCACTGAATTTAGGGTGATTTTTATGTCCTGGGGCCAATACACAGCCCAGGTACTGCAGCTGCCTCTGGAGATGTTTCCTTCCACCCTGAAGGGGTTGGGAGCTTGCAGAGCAGAGGTTTCCTGAAGTAAATTGGCACTGGGCTTTCTCTGTGGAGTAGCAATGGGAGTATTGATGGTTTAATTCCCTGGACACATCCAGTGTTGGGTTTAAATAAGGAAAGCAAAGGACATTGAGGGGCTGGGGCATGTCCAGAGAAGGGAATGGAGCTGGGGAAGGGTCTGGAGCAGCTGAGAGACCTGAGGGGGCTCATCCTGGAGAAAAGGAGGCTCAGGGGGGACCTTCTTGCTCTCCCTGACAGGAAGGTGCAGCCAGGTGGGGGTCAGGCTCTTCTGCCATGTCTCAAGGGAAAGAATGAGAGGAACTGGCCTTAAGTTGTGCTGGGGAGGTTCAGATTAGATACTAGATTTTTTTTTTTTTCCACTGCAGGAGTGGTCATGCATTGGAATAAATTGCCCAGGGAGGTGATGGAGTCACAGTCTCTGGAAGTGTTCAAGAGGCATCTGGATGTGGCACTTGGGGATAAAATTTAGAGGTGTTGAGGGTGGTGTTGGGTTCTCTTCCAACCTTGCTGTGATTTACTATGATAACGTCTTATATTGGGATTTTATTTTGTTTTGTTTTGTTTATTTCTAGGGCCACGTGAAACTCTCAGATTTTGGTCTGTGTACTGGACTGAAGAAAGCCCACAGGACAGAATTTTACAGGAACTTGAATCACAGTCTTCCCAGTGACTTCAGTAAGTTCTTTGGCTCCAAAGGGTACCTGGTTGATTGCTCTTGGGTCCTGACCAAACTCATTTCAGTGTGAGGGTGTGGCTGGAGTGGGGATCTAATAATCAGCTTTACATCTTGAGGTGGATTTTCATTTTCTGTAAAATAATTTCAGTTACTTTAAACCCATTTTCATTTCCAGAATTTTGTCTCTGAAGCAGACTCTGCTGTTGCCTTTTGCATGTGTAATAAAATGAGAACTCAGTGAGTTGGTAGCTGCTGGATCTCGTTACTGAAATGAATAAACCAGCACAGTCTGAGTATCTAGGATTATTCTGGAAGGGAAGACCTTGAATCATGGAGTTACATCAACCCTGAAAACAGTTTGATAATGAAAGGCTCAATTAGATGTTGCCCATATTTCATAGGTTTGGAAGTTGCTGAGAGGTTTAGGTTTGGGGTATTGACCCACATCTTAAATGAGATCTTTACCACTACACTAAAGATATTTTGGGGGTAAAAATATATTGGGTGTCCAGTAGGATCCAGTCACAGCTATTGAATCTCCTTCAGCTTTCCAGAACATGAATTCCAAGAGGAAAGCAGAGACTTGGAAGAGGAATCGCCGGCAGCTGGTGAGTAGGTTCCACCTGCTTGGAGATGTTCCTGCTGAGGTGTTGCACCCACATGGAACATGGATTTACATGGAAGTTTTTAATGCATCTGAGGTCTGGACAATCCTGAAAGGAAAAGATTCAGGGATTTTTTTAAAAAAAAGAGGAATGACTCTAGTTTGTCCTTCATCCATCTGCTGAACAGCTGGTGACATATGTGCAGAGATAGCACTGCCATAATTATTTACATGGATATCTGAAGTCTCCCAGCCAAAACTATCAGTTCTTGCTACTTCCAATTTCACAAAGGTCTCCAAGGTGACCCATTCCAGGACACTGATACCCTTCCCTGTTTTCCTGGTGCTATTTTAAGACTCTTTCATGTGAAGATATTAATTTTGTCTCTACATATTTTGGAAGAAAGGCTTTAAACACCTTTGCTAAAGGATCTCAGAGACAATCTGGTGTCTTCTCAAAATAACCAGTGTTGTATAAGTTCCCATGTCCATGTCAGGCAGTTTTCACTGCAGATGCATAACTGATGGTGTTTGTTCCAGGCTTTTTCTACAGTGGGAACTCCAGATTACATTGCTCCAGAGGTCTTCATGCAGACTGGATACAACAAGCTGTGTGACTGGTGGTCCCTGGGGGTCATCATGTACGAGATGTTGATTGGTAAGGAACAGGCAGGGCAGGCTGGAGGTGGGAATGGTGGAGCAGCACATCAGCTGTATTCATATAATCATAGAATCCCAGACTGGTTTGGGTTGGAGAGGACTTTAAAGCTCATCCAGTGTCACCCTCTGCCATGGCAGTGACACCTTCACTATCCCAGGTTGTTCCAAGCCTCATCCAACCTGGCCTTGGACACTTCCAGGGCTGGGGCAGCCACAGCTGCTCTGGGCAGCCAATTTCTGTGCTTGGGGTCAAATTCTCACAGCATCCAGTTCTTGCCTGGTCTCTGTGGTGTGTTTTGGCTTCAGGAATTAATTTTGCTTGATCCAAGATGATATTTTTGTTTCTTTTCAGGTTATCCACCCTTCTGTTCTGAGACTCCTCAAGAGACATATAAGAAAGTGATGAACTGGAAGGAGACCCTGACATTTCCTCCAGAGGTTCCAATCTCTGATAAAGCCAAGGATCTTATTTTAAGGTGCCAACCCCATGGTTTGCCAGTTAATACAGCACTAATTTTCTTGTCTTGTCCCTGTATTCTGTGCCTCTCATGGCTTGTTTCACATGGAAAACCCTGGTGCTACAAACTGTTACACACATGCATCAAATGCTGCACTCCCTTGTCAAATACTTTTAGTCTCTCAGGCCATTTAGTGGTTCCCTGACTAAACTCTGCTAAAAAGGAGTTCCCATGGAAGTGCTGCTCCTCTGGCAAAATGTTTCTCCTCCTTATTTTGCCTGCAGCCTTCTCAGGGAAGGACACAAGTTCAATCCTTTTGACAGAGCTGACTTCTTGCAACAGCAATGGTTTTGCCTTTGTATGCACTAGAGCATACAAATGTGTCCCAGTGCTTGCTGACTCATTTGTACTTCAGTATCTATTCTCAGGACAGAAATATAAATGTCTGGTTTTTTAGGCTTTATATGTTCTCCTCCTCTACTCTGGTCCTGAAATAGAAAGGTCACATTATCCTGTTGTGAAGGAGTAGCACATCTTAACTGTGGCATTGGACATGACATTCCTGTACATAACTTTGTGTGTTGGTTTTGCTGTGGAAGTTCTTGGTCTGCTCCATTTATATGTTAAGAAACTGCACAAGTATCAGTTCAGAAAGCTGTTCCATTTCTGGATGGAATGCTTTCCTTTTCATTCTCCCTTCATTTTCATTCTTCCTTCCATCCCAGATTTTGCTGTGAATGGGAGCACAGAATTGGTGCATCTGGTGTGGAGGAAATAAAGAGTAACCCATTCTTTGAAGGGGTTGATTGGGAGCACATCAGGTAAGATGCTTTGCAGAAAAGCAACTGCTCTTCTCTAGGGGCTGCTCAGGCCAGCCCTGGTCTGCAGCAGGGAGCAGCTGACTGGCATTTATCACATCCAGCTGTGGGTGAGAACATTTTGTTCTCTACCTGATGCTTGCTGAGGTTTAGGTACCCTCAGTCATGATTCTGCTAAGAAATGAAAGGTGGCTGAATTCTGTTTTGTCTGCCTTTGAAATTTCAATGCTTCCTCTGCTCTTCTTGGCAGAGAGAGACCTGCTGCGATTTCAATAGAAATTAAAAGCATTGATGATACCTCAAACTTTGATGAATTTCCAGAATCTGATATCCTTAAACCAACAGGTAAATGATTGTTTGATTCTCTGTGTAAACCTTCCTCTTCTGTGGAATAATCCTTCCTGTTAGTTAGATCTTAGTAGATACTGATTAATTTTTACCATGACCAAATAGCTTTGTGGTGCAGGGGTGCAAGCTGGATTTTGGAGGAGATGCAGGCTTGTAAATGATGTGGGAGTTGCCTGAGAAAGGGCAGCTCTCAGAGGCAGCAGAGCTTCCAGAAAATTCAAATCTCTGCAGGGCCTGAGAACCCAATGCTGCATGCTCCCCTTGGTGCTGATTCCTGCTGGCACCTGGAGCAGGGTGGGGAAGGGGGGAACTCAAGGGGATTTTTGCTGTGAATATCTGAAGGATCACAGCATAGCCACACATTTGCTCCATGAGTTTAAAAACAGAATCCCAGACTGGTTTGGGTTGGAAGGGACCTTAAAGCTCATCCCACTCCACCTCCCACCATGGGCAGGGACACCTTCACTATCCCAGGTTGCTCCAAACCTGTCCAACCTGGCCTGGAACACTTCCAGGGACTGGGGCATCCACCACCTCTCTGGGCAACCTGTGCCAGTGTTTCACAGCTCACATTGTAAAAAATTTCTTCTTTCTGTCATCTGAATCTGCCCTCTTCTAGCTTACAATGCTTGTGCCATGTCCTGTGTCCCAGCAGTACTTTCCTGGGGTTGAAGCACAAAGCTGCATCTGCATTTAGGAATTTTTTTCCTTTAGAAACATTCATCCAGTGTTTTGTATGAAAAAATAAACTCTGCAGCTCCAAAGGATAATTAATTCTATTTCTTCTATGTCTTCCCAGTGGCAACAAGCAACCACCCAGAGACAGACTACAAGAACAAAGACTGGGTTTTTATCAATTACACCTACAAACGTTTCGAGGGCCTGACAGCCCGAGGAGCAATTCCATCCTATATGAAAGGAGGGAAGTAACACAGCTTTACCTGGGACTTCTAAGCCGTGGAATTCTGTTGCTGTACTTTGGGTTTGTACCCATAAAAGAACTTGTTTTTTTTTTAAAGAAAACTTGAGGGCTATCAACTCTTGGAGAAGAATTCAGGACCCTGTTTTGTTACACACCTGGTTGTTATTAAGGATTTTTTTTTCCCTGCGCCATTGAAAAATTCCACATGTTTGCATCATCTCTGCTGCCAGCACCTTTTGCTGCTTCAGGAGCAAGAGTTTTTTTTATATTTTTTGCCAGACTGTCTAGTCCATTGGGAGATGACAGCAAGCTTTCCCTTTGGCATTGCAAACCATGGAATTCTATAGGACTGTGTCCAGTCCTGCATTAAGTGACAAACTCACTCTGCCAATTCTGCCAGCACTGTTTGCCCAGTCCAGCTGAGGACTCCAGGACAGAGGAAACAAAGCAATAATTGAAGCTTGAGACAGAAAACTCTCCAGGAAACTGTCTAATAGAAGGACAAAACTCAGATTGCCTTAACCTTTCTTTGTAGTGCTGTTTTTATAATGCTCCCTGGAAGCCTCTTCAATAGCATTTCTCAGCTCTGTCACTGTGGCCCCCAGTTCTGGTGCACTTTACTTTTGGTACTAAGTGACCCTCAAGCCATTTAATATTTTTTCTAAATTAAAAAAAATTTGCAACACGTTTTCCTTCCTAAATGGAGGAGAAATGTGCCATTTCCTCCACTGAGCACCGAGTTTTTCAGTATTTCAGGGTGGATCCATAAGCAATGCAGATAAACTACAGCTGGTCACATAAGTGGGTCTGGAATTAGAGCAGAGGGAGGGAATTCCAGGAACCTGATCCTTGGTGGGTAAGTTGTGCACAGCTGGGCCAGCCCTGAGGCTCCCCAGGCTGCCTGCTGCTGTTTCTCAGCCTCCTCTGAGCTCTGCTGCATCTTCAGTGCTTTAAAGGCCAAAACCCAACTTCTGTGGCCTTTTTGCTGTTGGTTTTGAGCAGAGCAGGATCAGGATGTTGCTGATGGAGCCTGCCTGTGTTCCCTCACAGAGCTGCTCTTGCTGTACCATCTGTACCCAGTGTGTTCCATGGATGGTGCTCATGGGGTCACTTTTGGGGCACTGGAACCCACCCTGTCCACTCATTGATTGTTGCCTGCTCTGTTTATAAAAGTACATTCAGTTCTGATCAGGGTCTCTCCAGGAGAGCCCCAAAGTGCCTTTCCTTGCCTAGGCCTCTCTCAGAACACAACAGCATTTTGGGAGGGAGGATTCTGCCTCAGCTGAGCTTTTCCTGATTTGTTTTTCTAACCACAAGCTCCACGTTGTGCCCATTTGTAGTTAACTCTGCACTTCCAGGGGCAGGTGGCATTAACCCATGAGCCTGCATGGTTCCAGTCTGGAATTTACAATCAGATATTAAAAATACAATTCAATGAGTTTTCTAAAAGTGTTTCTCAATTCAAATTGTCTTGGATTCCTGCAAACTTCTCTTGGTGCTGAACACTAACTGTGGAGTACAGACAAGACAAAGCTCCAGTGATATCTCACAGGAAAAAAAAAAGGCTTCCAGGTCTGTTTAGTCCTGACTTTCTTGATTAGAAAATGAAACAAAATGGATTTGTAGTGGAACTTTTTTTTATATAGGTGCTTTTAGGGAATGTTTACCTAGATGTCTCTTGACTCGAGTGCCATCCCCAAGGCCTGGTGGGGGACTGCCAGTACTGTACAGAACTCATCAGGGTCCTCCCCTCACCACCCCTGTGCTTTTTGTACATGTCCTACGAGTTCATGACTTGCCATAAGCAGTTCAGACAGCAGTTGGATCCTAGCAAGCTGAAATGCAAAGCCAGCCTTAATCACAAGTCCCAGGATCTCTGTGGTCAGAAGGGCTCACTTGGATGGATAAGGGCTAAGGAAGGAATGACTTACAGGATCAGGCTTTCATCAGCTCATCCCTGCATCACATTCTGCTCCTTTTTGACTTTGCATGAAGGACTGATACCAGCTTCTCAAACTGTTCCATCTTTATCCTGCAGTTTCTTCTAGCCATTTGAAAATGTTGCCTTATAAACCATTGGAATTAATGTAAGACCATTTTTTTTTTTCAATTCTTAACAGCTTAGTTACTGCCTTAAAATAAAAACAAAAATCAAAATCCTTTGAAGCTGCTGTGGATTAGGAACAAATGATTTTGAGATAATAGCTGCATTCTTAGCCCTTTACTGAAAGGGACCAGCATTTTTATTTATAAATACCAAAGATGAAGAAGCTAAACAATTTTAAGTTGTGATAAGTTGCTGTGAAAAACCAACTCTCTAGTACTGTTTATTGTACATTTTTAGTGCTGTGTTTGAAGTGGGACCCCTCAGGTGTGTCACTGGAGTCCAAGGTGAAGTTTTCAAAGGCACGAGGAGCAGTGGGGTACCTCATTCCTGTTGTCTTCCAGCAAAAGTTGGATGTGTTTGAATCCAGTCCTGCTGGACACACCTTTGCAGTGGGAGGTTCTATATCCTAGGTGCACTGTAAGCCTGCATCCTGTTCCAGTTTTTTTACCAACATTAGGGGAATAAAAGTGTCTCCTGCAGTATCTCCTTCCAGGATCCATATTTCACTGCTGACAGTAAGGATTTTGTATGCCTGTTACATCTTCCATGGTAGCCAAACATTTTTACATTTTTTGTGTTTTGAGGTTCTTAGTATCTTTTACCTCTTTTTTTTTTTTAAGCTGCAGTTGCTGGATTTGTAGAAGTAATTCCAATCTGAATTTCCAATGGATCTGAACACCTTATGCTGCCAGTTCATCTCTGTGTCATGCCTAGCACAAAGCTGCACTAAGTGTTTCTTATCACTGTGCCCTGACTCTGCCTTAACCTCGAAGTTGAAAAAGTGTTCTGTAAATATTTAAAAGCTGTTACAAAATTGCACTGTACAATTTGGCAGGTGTAGTCAACTTTTTACAGAGCGATCTCGTTGTGTTGTGTAAATAAAATCCTCTTAGTAAACACACTCTTGTTGGTGTGCTGTGTTTTACAAACAGGAATCAGGGAATCCTGGAATGGTTTGGGTTGGAAGGGTTTAAAGCTCATCCATTCCAACCCCCTGCCATGGGCAGGGACATCTTCACTATCCCAGGTTGCCCCAAGCCCTGTCCAGCCTGGCCTTTTGGCACTGCCAGGGATGGAGCAGCCACAGCTGCTCTGGACACCTGTGCCAGGGGCTGCCCACCCTCATAGGGAACAATTCCTTCCCAATATCCCATCCATCCCTGCCCTCTGGCAGTGGGAAGCCATTCCCCTTGTCCAGGACCTGATGAAGAGTCCCTCTCCACTTTTCTTGTAGCCTCTCCAGATAGTGGAAGGTGCTGTGAGGTCTTCACCTTGTTCAAACTGTTAGTGCCTTGCCAACCTTCATCAAGAGAAGCCTGAAGTACATCCAAGGCTGAAGATGGAAATCAAAGCCAGATCTGCTCCAAAGCTGTTTTCTTCTGAAGACAAGTAGGTAAAAGTGAAGAACACTTTTCACAGCACTGAACAAAACCACTGGGGCTTGTTAGAGATGCTGCAGTTCGTGGGTTGAGGAGTGTTGTCTGTGCTGCCTTTAGAACAGCACTGCAATGAGGTGTAGAGATGAAGTAAACTTTGGGGTCCTCTCACCACAAATGGTGGGAACACCTCCCTGCAAACCAGGCTCTGAATGTCAAACTACTCCTATCACAACCCACACTTATTTAATGAAGCAAAGAAACAAAACCTTGTAGCTCTCCATGCCTGCCTGTTCTACTCCACATTTAAAACAATTGTTAAAGGAGCCAAACAAGTCACATATAATTTATACTTTAATACAGAAAAGAAACCATACATCTGGGGTCCATACACAGCACAGGAGCACTTCAGTACATCCAGAGTAAGACAAAAGTTGACCTTGTACTTGAAGTAGGTGACCGTGCGAGGAGGAAAAGCAAACACTTTTAAAATTTGATTCAGTGTTCCAATGGAACTCGCTCTACTAACAAAATTTAAAATCCAGAATGAATAATTACTTGGGAAAGCCAATAAACCACAGTAGGTAAGTGGTAAAATCTGCATGGAAATCATGGGAGCTGGGCAATGTGCATCCCATGCTGAAGGTCCAGCTGATTGCACAGGGAACCACAAACTCCTACAGGCACTGCCAGTCTGTAACTCCCAAGAGGGCCTGGTGCAGTTTAATCAATGCCTGAATCCTTCCAGAGGCTGAGCTGCCCCTGGGCTCAGGGACACGCTGGGTGGGTTTTGGTTTGCCTGGATATGGTCCTTTAGCTGTCAGATCCCAAAAGTGCTGCTGAGGTGAATTCTCAGCACCTGATACCTTGACACAGTCCTGAAACAACACCCACACTCCAGTCCTTAGAGCAGAACGTGTGGAACCTCCAATTCCAGCTCAGCTGGGCAATACCAACACTCATTTACTTCAACCTGACACTGGTGGGGAAATAAATCCACACTGGAAAACAATCCCAGAGCTTGGGGGCCATCACTGCTGGGTACTCAGGGCCTAGGGATGAGTTCCACCACTGCTGGGCTCACCAGTGCTTCTGTTCTCCTGAGGAACAGCTCATACCAAGGCAAGGACTGGGCTTGGTCTGGCCCCTGGTGGAGGTTCATGGTCCATGTGTCTTCCTTTCTCTACCACATAAATAACAATTCATCTGGAGCAACAATGGAGTGTCTGCACATCCCCCCAGCTCTGTGCAGGCACCAAAGGACACTTCTCTCTACCGACCCAATGACACACAGGGAGGAGTTTGCAAAAGTAGTCAAGAGAAATTCAGGCATCTGAACACCTGGGACTCTTGAAATCTTCCCATAGGCACTTCTTTTTAGAAGAAATCTGTTTGCTACACTTGGGAAAGAAGCTAAGAATGGAAATACTGAGAGAATGGAACTTGTATCCATACTAATGGAAACTAAAATGTGCCTTGGCAGAGATTTGTTACTTGCAACTAAAAATTTCTGCTTGATCTCGTTATGTTACTTGCACCGAAAACCACAAACACCTTGGCAGCAACCAGCAGCAAATTTCACTGCTCAATTCACCATGCACGTGGCAGTCAGAAGGAGAACAATACAAATTTGCTTGATGTTGCAGCCTGGCAAAAAAGGATTAAACTTTCTAGGGCCAGACTGATACCTACATCTCAATTTTGCCAAGTCTGACCATGCAATGCAGGTTTCAACACCTTTGCCACAGCAGCACTGACCTGCCCAGCTTTGTGAGGAGCTCTGTCCCTCTCCTTGAATGGTTTCAGCTTTTCTTTGCACCAGCACCATGTTTTAAAACTCTGGTTTGGGTACATAGAGCCTTTACACAGCCTCAGAAGGGATGGCTTTGGGAGGCAGCCCAGTTCTGGGTGCCCTCAGCTGAGCTGGGGCAGTGCAGAACTCACTGTGGGCTCATCAGGGGTTAAACCAGCACCCACAGGGAACTCCCACAGGGAATTCCTACATGGAACTCCCACAGGGAACTCAGTGCTGCAGGAGCAGGATCAGTGAGGCTCCAATCCACCTGAGCTAAACCAGCCTGGAGTCTGCCTGTTCTTAATTCCCAGAGCCTGACATAGATCAGGATAACACACTCAGAACAGCACAGGAGCTGTTCCCAGGTGAAAATGGGAAAAATGTGCATTTTTCTCTTCTTAGGGCTGGGTTTACTATTGGTATTTCTTACCTGCCTGACAGAAAAATGGCCCAGTCAGTTCCAAATTGGGAAGAAAGCAGCTGGCTTTAAAAAGCTGCTGCAGCAGCTCCTTGGAGAGTCTACAGCAATTCTGACTAAAGTTGATGAGACCAAGGATTTTACTCAGGTAGTAAACTGGGAGCTCCTTCACTGGCTTTGTTTGTCTTAGCAGGGGGATGGAGAAAACAACACAAAGTCTTCAGTATGCACAGTCACCTCTAGAAAGCTTCTTACACCTATGTGGCTATTAACAGATTGATTTTATTGGTAAAATATCAGCTACAGTCTTTTTTGGGTTTTCCTTCAGCATGATCTACTCATTTTACTGGACTTAACAGAAAACATCTCTAAAAACAATGATTCCATCTCACAGAGAAGTACAGATGGGGAATTCCTGTGAATATGCCTCCTATGGAACTGGTTCCTCCTTCCTAGGGCAGCAGTACACCACGCTGGATCCAAAGCCAGGTGGCAGTGCAAACAGATTCCTCCATGCTCAGGCTTTGCTGTCACACTGTGCTACATTTCTGCTGGTTGATATAGAATATCATCTGTCCTGCTTTGATGTTCACTCCTCTGTAACTCCCAAAAACAAAGCTGTGCCTCATGGCAAAGGAAAGCTTTGTCTTGACAGGCCCAGAATTTCCTCTCTCATGTCCCACAAGACATTTTCACACTTGTGCTCTTCTTTCAGAAGTTTAGATAAAATATTCAGCACCCACAATCCGGAAGCCTTTGTAGTAGAAACAACAGGTCATTTCCTTTTTGTCTGAGCAGATGTTGCTTTTGATTGCACAATTAAGACTATGGAGTGTGGCTCTTTATTAACATGCTTGAAATATGACAACGTAGTAAGAGCATGAACGAGGATAAAGCACCTGGCAGGAGTCTGTGTCCCATCACCTGGGATGAAACTGTGGTGAGAACTTCCCACCTCCAGCAGGATTCTCCACCCTGAGCCACACTAATCTGGTAGATCATTAACAACCATTTGGGAGAAGGGGGCATTCAGCCTGTCCAGTTCATCCACCTGTGGGGGGTGATGCATGATAACCTCGTGGTCCTCTGAGACATCATCCCCCACTGTGACCAGGTTTGTCAGGGATTTGCTGCGCACACACTGGAAATCCACGTGGCGGCTCTTGCCCTCCTCCTTCTCCCAGGACATCTGGATGAAGGGACGCTGCACGTAGTTGTAGATCACCTCAGAGCGGCCACCAGGCCTCCTCTTCACCTTCTCCTTGCACGTGGGGTACCCTGGAAACACAGACAGCCACTCAGTTCCCTCTCTGATTCACAAAGGGACAACAGGATTCCAGAACACCCAGGTAGGAGTGACTGTGGGGTCAGCGTGGGACACACGCACAACTGAGCAGACAAATGCTCAGATTCCAGACAAACGCTCACATTCCACATTTAATATTACTGATTTGCAAAAGACTGTTCTCTTTTCTCCCGAAAAACAGTCCTGCAAGGCTGGGCATTCTTCAAGAAGGAAAACTTAAAGCTGCAGGAGCAGGTCATCCCCATGTGCCAAAAGATGAGCCAGTGAGGATGAGAAGGAAAGAGGGCCAGATACATCAAGAGGACTATGAGGATGTACTGAGGTTATGTGGGGAGAAATGAGGAGTCAAGGCTGAACATGAGCCCAGGTGGGCAACAAGGCCATGGGCACCTGGGCTGTAGCAGCCATGGTCCATCCAGCAGGCCCAGGGCAGTGGCTGTCCCCTGTGCTGGCACTGCTGAGGCACCTTGAGTACTGTGTTCAATTTTGGGCCCCTCACAAGACAGACATTGAGGAGCTGGAGTGTATCCAGAGAAGGGAACAGAGCTGGGAAAGGTCTGGAGCATCAGGAGTGAATGAGGGAGCAGGAAAGGGGCTCAGCCTGGAGAAAAGGAGGCTCAGGGGGGACCTTGTGGCTCTGCACAACTCCTGACAGGAGGGGACAGCTGGGGAGGTTGGGCTGTGCTCCTAGGGAACAGGGACAGGATGAGAGGAAACAGCCTCAAGCTGTGCTAGAAGGATTTAAATTGGGTATTACAGAAAATTTCTTCACCAGGGTTGTCCAGCTGTGGCACAGGCTGTCCAGGGCAGTGGTGGAGTCACCACCCATGGAGGGATTTAAAATACACGTGGATGTGGCTTTTGGGGATGTGGTAGGCTTAGCAGTGCTGGGTTAATGGTTGGACTCAATAATCTCAGAGGGTTTTTCCAACCTAAACAATTCCATGATTCCCTGACACGAGGGTGCAGCACTGTGTGCAGTCAGCCTGCTGTGCTGCACAGCACCAGCCATTCTGTGAGCAAACATAGCTACTATGAAAACAAGTCTCCCAGGACAGAGCTCAGCATTCTCTAAGCTCCCTAAGGGAAAGCTTGGATCAGCAGGTGGAAACATCTGACTCCTGTTTCCTGTTTACTCATTCCTAAGGAGACAAGTCTTTCTCCTACATGTTTTGTACCTTTCACTTTCCTTTAACTTTTAAGCCCCCTGGCAAATTTCAGTGGAACACGGTGGAGGTAAAGGAAAAACATGTTGAGTTTTAACTGGATTTGTAAAAATTATTGTAAAACACAGAGTAAACAAGGAAATGGCTGGATTTCAGAAGAAATCAGGCTTTGCTGACTGTGGAGTCACCTGAACATGCATTTCCCCTGCTGAAGCAGCACCTTACCTTCGATGCCAATGCGAATGTTCTTCAGACCCCGTTCCTTCAACACAGCCTTTGCCACGTCCCTGTTCTCAATGTACTTGAAGAATCTGTACAGCTTGGAACTGTAAAGGACTTGAGAAATAAAAGGGGTGATTAGAATCAACAAAAAAGAACCTCCTCCCTGCTTCTGGCATACTCTGCTGTGCCAAAAGCCAGGTGTGGATTCCAAGGATTATTTCAAGTGTCTGTTTTCCTCACTGGGATTAATTGCACTTCCTTTTGGGAGGGCAGAGATGCAAATCACAGTCTCGATAGACTGGGTGGTGATGGGAGTGTAAAGCAAAGAATATTCCCTCATTAAGGAGCCTGGAAAAGGCTGAGGGGAGGCAGAAACAGGAGGAAAAGTACAGTGAGTGCTGGGATCAGTTTTAACTAGCCAGGCATCCTGCCTCTAACAGCACCAGGGCTCCATGTGCCAGCATCTTTGTTGGGATTTTAGCAGGCTAGAGACTGGAAAAGTACAAAACCGTGGCTAATTCCAAGTTTTGCACCTGCTAGATAGTGTGTCCTTGGGCCTAGCTGTAGTAGGATAACAAATAGTGAAAAAGACATGAGAAAAGAGAAGTGTAACCCCTAAGGAATGAGGAAGAGTTCATGGTATAGTTTAACCAATAGATCGCTTGGCTTGCAGAATATTCATAAACTTATTATTTGCTGTATAAGTGTTTGATGCTTTCTTCAATAAATTGGACCTGTAATGAACCAGCTGGTGTCCTGGTCCCCTTCCTACGACACATCTTCTCCTGGAGGAAGCCAGTTTGGGAATGTGCCCTTTCCTTATGGCTGGGTGTGTGTGGAACAGAGTGCAGAGCCCTTACTTTGTGAATACTCCTCTCCCATGGGAGGTGGATGATCCTCATCCCAGTCCACGGTGTCCTCGTCGGTCAGCACGACGATGTGACACTCGCGCTCGCCCTTGCGCGCGCTGTCCACCATGATGGGCAGGATCAGCTCCTCCAGGTAGCTGTCAAACTGCTTGTGAGCCCCATCGTTGGACAGCTCGTGTAACAGAGCACCTGAGGAGACACAGAGCAAAGCAGCTTTGCTGCAGCATGAAAATATCTCAGCTCTGCACTTCCCAGATCCATCCAAGAGCACAGCCAGAGTTCTTTTTCAGACAAAATGCTCAACATATGTTCAGACACATCAACAGCCTCCAGATCCAGAACTGGCAAAGTCAGAAGTGCACACTGCATTTCAAATGGGATGCAAATTGCACTGCAGAACCATTCCATTCCCATTAAAAACCCACCAAGCTCCAATCAATACAGTGAAACAGTAATAGACTGAATAATTAATTCATTATGATACTTAACTTGAATTTCCAGCAACAACCTCTGCCCTTGAAAGTACATTTTACTGCCTTCTCTGTGATCACTCACCAGAGAACAGGGCAGGAAATTCCACCCACAGCCTGTGTTATGATACCACACATCCCATTTCAGTAAAGTGCATTTCACAGACCTGCCTGTGTTAAAAGTACTTCTTTTTGCCAGCATGCCCACCAAAAAGCTGCTCCAAATCAAATCCCTTCATTACCAGGAATTCTACTGCTCTCCAGATTTGGTATTGTTGGTTCCTGCTCTGCCCATCAGCATTTAGCTTAAATTATTCATGATTCTCCGGTACATTTTGGTTAGGGGTTATAATCCTGCTTTTAGCCATCATTTTGTTGGCAGTAACAGCAAGCTCTGCTCAGCCTCTGTTAGAAAAAGAGACTAAAATGTTTATAATTTGCTTTTGGAGCTAAGTGCCTGTGTTCTGAAGGATTTGGTCACTTCACTTTGGATTGAAGCAGCCAAAAAGAAGCTGTTTAAATGCAACTTGAGCCCCAGTGAAATCCATGTGTTCATGCTTAAACTAAAGCTCAAGATTAAGAAATGCACTGAATCAGGATCAGAGTGCTCAACGCCCTGCAGATGATCTCCTAAAAGCTGATTTCTCTTCATACTTACTTAAATCTTGACATTTGATTGTGTTGAAATCAAAGTTTATGCAGAGGTAATCACATGTGTCTCGAAGGTCTGGGATGGAAATCCCATCAGGGCAGTTAATGATTCCGGTTTTGTAATAATCCTGTGAATAAAAGGACAGGTTTTGGAGAGAAAAACCATGAACATCTTGGACTATGATATTCCTAATTAGTTCTTTATTTTGTTTACTAATATTGGAGAGATACTGAAACTATTTATAAAACAGCCCTGCTTGTCTGAGAATCTACATCTCTTTGCAGATCCTCTAGGGTCTGATAAATTATGAGTTCCAGGTAAAACCTTTCCATGGCACAGAGTTTCATAACATCTCATATGCAATATGTATTTATATACAAGCACAAGATCAGGATACTGCTCAAAATTACAACAGCAGGACATAGAAAAGGTAAAAGGCAACACAAGCATATATCTGAAATGTGGACTTACACCAAAGCTACATTTTTTCTTTAGAAATCACAACGCAAAACCTAAAGCCAGAATGTTCCAGGGAGTGCCTGGAGATGGCTGAGCTGTGTGACACACAGATTATTTGTTTCTTTTCTCCCCAGCTGCAGAGCTGCCCTTACCAGCACGGTGCGGAACACGGCTGAGCTGATCCCTTCTGCGATCTCGTACTCGCCCTTCTCGTTTGGCCGGGTGAAATTGTATTCTCTGCCTGGCCCAAACATCCTGAAAGAGGTAAAGAACTGTGTGAGTGCACAAGAACATCAAAATGCATTTATTTCAGAGACAAACAGATGCACTGGGGTTAGAAAATTCTTTCCTGTGGGGGCAAGGAGGGCCTGGCAGAGGCTGCCCAGAGAAGCTGTGGTTGCCCCAGCCCTGGAAGTGTCCAAGGCCAGGCTGGATGGGGCTTGGGGTAACCTGGGCTAGTGGAAGGTGTCCCTGTCCATGGCAGGGGTGAAATGAACTCAGCTTCAAGGTCCCTTGCAGCTGAGGCCATGCCATGATTCTGTGATGAAGCCCAGCAGTGTCACAGAGATACAGCAACTTAAATCTCCACTGCAATCTCTTCCTTAGTAAATAAGGACAAGATTTGGCTCAGGGAGGCCTCTGTTGCTATGGCTACTGCACTCTAAGGAACAAGCCAAAGCAACAGATCATTCAGTCCTGGGGCAGAAAATCCCCTGACAATAAAGCCCTTGCACTGACCTACACCAGATAAATCCACATGACTTTGGATGCCTTGTTTTACACAATAATGCATGCAAGGGTCAGTGACCCACCAGAACCCCTTGGCCAGAGAGGTGGAAGTGCTGGCAATACAGCACCCCTGGCAATACAGCACACGAGGATTTCTTGGTGCAGCAACAGGCTCCACCCTCTCAGAAGGAGCTGAGTAACTTCTCTATTGGGAGAGTATCAAGAGGTGGCAGCAGGAAGGGATGGAGCATTATCATATTCCCCATTCAGGAGGAAGGTTATCAGCTGGGGACAGATGTACAGCTGACAGATGAGGCAAACACTTGGGGAGAAGGTAAAGGAAATCATCTTTGGCTAAAAGTGTGCATTTTTTGATGGACATGGACCAAAGGGAGACTTATCTACAGAACCACCAACTCTCCATCTAGTCAGGTCTTCTGGGCCTCACTCACAGCCAAATTCTGACTGAGGTGTGCACAGATGAGATCACCAAACAAACATTACATGTTTATTCCATTAAAAAAAAAAATTAGATTGTCTTGAGGTACCTTGAAGGTAAGAGAAGTGACCCACCTTCCCAGCATGGTGTCAGGGTGAGCAGTGAAGATCTGGGGATTCACTGCAAAGCGGGTGCCATCCACCACCAGGGTCACTTTCTCTGGAGCTACTGTCTGGGAATTGCTGCTTGAAGACAATGCACAGCATCCATGGCGTTCCTGGGCATTAAAATATTCCAGCTGTCTCTTATTTCCATCTGGGATATGGCAGTTGTGAGGCTCTTCAGGAGCAGACAGCATGCTACAGATCTGGGGATTTACTGGGCAAGCGTTGTGTCGGCATTCAGAATCCAAACCTGAGGGACACAAACAAACATTGCAAGGGGAGGAGGGAATTTATTGAAAAACATCATTTCATAGTAACATTTCCCACTGAAATGAGAAAACTGAGTCATGCAATAATTAAGGATGCCATAAGTGTCAGGGTGATGTTATATGACATAAAACTGGGCTGTTATTGAACTCACCAGCAGCTGGATGCTTTGGTGAGCCATGGTGCTTAATGTTCCCTGTTAAAGCAAGATGGATTCAGCTGAAAAGGGCAGGAGCACAGGAATTAAACAAGGCCAGAAATGCAGACCCAGCCTGCTGGCAGGACTCCCACAGGGAGCTGGGCAGCAGCACACACCTCAGCAGGGTGGTGTAAGGCAGCAGTGCCCAGTGCCAGTCTGTGGTGGGCACACAGGACTGCCCAGATGCCTGCAGGGAATCTGCTCAGGGCCAGCTCCAGCCTGGCCAGGGCACTCCTGTGGGATGCTCTTGCCAAGATGCTGAACCCTGCTCTGAACCTCTGACCTTTGGAGCACCTGGCACAGGCAGGGCACATACTGCCCAGTGCAAACTGCCCTGTGATACTGGAACATTCTCCAAAACACAACACCCCTTAAAGCCCAAAAAATAATCTCCCTTAAAGCAAAAAAATAATCTCCCTCACAGATTACAATGTTGGGGGCATTATCCTTACCCTCAGTCCTGGGAACTGCAGGGCTGTGACCTCCTAACACCACAGAGCTTTCTTCTGACTCATGGGCTGCTACAGTTCTGTTTTCCACAGGACAACTGGACTCCAGATTTCTCACCCAGTCTGTGCCCCCAGCACAGTTCCCATTCATGCTGGGCTTCCGTGCTGTGAGGAGCTGGTGGCGTTTCCTAAGAGAAGAGCTGGAGAGAAAACCCAGGTTGTTAGTTCAGGAAGAAACTCCCAAGCAACAAAGTTCAAATTTCTGTATCTGGTACCACAAATAAGGTCCCTCAGGCTCAAAAGGCATTTCTTCAGGTATTTAACTGTGTTTCAGAGGCTTATGGTACTTGTTATGCCCCTACCCTCACATGGAAAGAGGGGGAAAAAGATTTTAAAGCAATCAGGGGTCTATTAAGTCCATTTAATCTATAGACCTTCACTTTTTTAAAGCTAAGTCTAAAGCCACTGGTGTATTTAGATCACATGTGAGTTCCTGCAAATACCTTCCTGGCAACTCCTCCTTTAAAAATGTTTATATTCTTGACTCTCAGTCCTGGCCAAATGAGCTCTATAACATGCTTACAGCCTGAAATAGAACATTTTCCCAGTTAACAGCTCAGGCATTGCCTCCTAACCACTCTGAGGTTTGACCAAGAGGTTCCCTGCTCCCAATCATTGCTTGGTTTTGGTTCTTTCCTCCTGATTTATACCATGCTGTCACACAGTGCTCCCCCCAGTATTTAACCCACCACAAACACTGGGACAGTGCAGAGCAGCCATGGCTGGAGCAGCCCCACACAGGATGCTTTAACCACTGCCACATCTGGAATGCTCTTCCAGCATATGCAGAGACACAGCTGCCTTTTTTTTCCAAGTAAAATTCCTTCCTCCTATCTTTAAGACCCATTTCACCCCTTTGTATCTCCCAACAGATCAGGTCTCTTTGCTGTCTCTTTCCCTCATTCTCTCTGGCATTTGTTCTGCTTTGGACAAGAACCAGCTCTCCTTTCTTGCCTTCAAGTGTTTTCCTTTCACTCTCTCAAACATAAAGCACCAATTTCCTCATTAATGAATTTTTCCAATTTCCCCCCTGCAGAACAATTGTCCTGTGTCTTTCCCTTGGCTGAATGATGACTGCAGGGCCTGTGGGTGCCATCTCTGACAGAGACAAAGCAGATAAAACACAGCACTAATAAAACAGCAAAATGCCAAGTCAGAGTTGTTGAGTTTTCTGGCCAGCACCTGCTGAGGCTTTAATGAGCAGTTCAGTGGTGAGTTTCAAGCCCATTGCTACTGGCAGTCTGAATTAAGCATTTTATTCCTAATGAGAAATTTAAAAAGGAGTAACAATTCATTCCTTTTGTTCTGTAAACCTAATTCTAAGTTGCCAGCATTATTATATCTGTGTATTTTTAGAAAATCTGCTGCTTACACATCATGTGATGGTCATCCAAAGGAGGATTTTTGGCAACAACAAAATAATTTCTTTTTTTAAAGGCTCTGGCTGGCAGCACAGTGACACAAGGAGCCCCCAAGGGTCATCTCAGTTCCAGCAACCTGAACACCACCCAGAGCACTGCCAAAATACTCAGTGTGGGAAAACTCCCTCTTCCACAGCTTCCAGGCTGCTTTCCTGTCCTGGCTGCCTGGACCCTGGAGAAAACCCTTAGCAGAAACCCCTGTGAATGCTGCCTTGTACCTGGGAATGGACTCCTGGAATATCTTGAGTTGGAGGAGAACATCAGTATGAGAGCTCACCTCCCTGCTGCTTGCAGGGTCACCCACAACTGAACTGTGTGACCAAACAACCTCCAGGGAGAACCATGGAATATCCTGGGCTGGAAGGGACCCACAGGGATCACTGAGTCCAGCTCCTGGCCCTGCACAGACAGCCCAACAATCCCTGGAGCTCAGGCAGCTTTGGGGCTGTGCCCATTCCCTGGGGAGCCTGGTCAGTGCCCAGCACCTTTTGGGAGAAGAACTTTTCCTAACATCTTAAGAGGGATGGACGTGGTCACACATGAACAAATCTTTTACCTGAACAAAAGTAACACAAACTCCATGTGAACAACCTGAGCAACCCTCTGCTGTCGCAGACATCTTTTTATGAAAATCCTTTCCTTAGGATTTTTCCTCCTGAGAAGCTGAGAGGCCTCAGGGACAAAATGTAAACAATGGTTATCTGCTGCTGTGCAATGCAACAGGTGGATTTCTGATTGCCCCATCTTGGATGTTTATAATTAATCAATCACAGCCCAGCTAGCTCGGCTCTCTGTCCAAAACACAAACCTTTGTTATTCATTCCTTTCTATTCTCAGCTTAGCCAGTCTTCTGAGAACCTTTTCTTCTATTTTTAGTATAGTTTTAATATAATATATATCATAAAATAATAAATCAAGCCTTCTGAAACATGGAGTCAGATCCTCATCTCTTCCCACATCCTCAGGCCCCTGTGAACCCTGTCACACTCTGCCCTCTTCTCTCGTGTGCCAGAGCAGCAAAGAGGGGGGAGAATGTCCAGCAGTGCCAGCAGTGGGACAGGGGTGTGGAGGGAAATCTAAATATGAAAAGCCACATACTCTAACACCCTGGAGGAAAAAAAGTCCACCCCTACCCCTTCCCCCCAAAAGCCTTTAAATCAATTCCAGAACAGACAATGTCCAGTGGAACAAAAAGTCAACTATTCCCCTGTATCACAGCACTCTAACTATTGTGAGGAAATGGAATTTTTCAAGACTGTAAAGGTTAAAGTATTTATATCACTAATAATGTGATTTCAAACACATTCACTGATTTATTATATTGTAGGTTTTGACCCTGAGATTAGCTCAGTTATCAGCTCATGATGCTGATAACACCAAGGCTGTACATTCAATCCCTGCATGGGCCATTCACTGAAGAGTTGGACTCAATGATCCTTGTGGCTCCCTTTCAACTCAGAACATTCTGCAATCTGTAATCTGAATCAAAATGCTTTAAAATTTGGGTAACTGCACTGAAAACCAAAACCTGTTTTTAAAATGCAGTTTGATTTACTCGGGGAAAAGTATTTTGAGATGGGGAAAAGAATACCCTTGTTGAGCAGATATAAAAGATAATATATATTATGTGTATATATCATATGATATATATATATGATATAGATATTATATATATAATATATATATGATATATATGCTATATATTATATATATATATATATATTTATATCTGATATATATAAAATATATCAGATTTGTAATCATAACCCTAACCCTAAGAGAAAGCCCTTAAAGGGAATAATTCTTGGGACCTGCTGGCTGCCAGGAGGAACCCCAGAATGTTGTTCTGGGCTGGAGGGACCTTAAAGCATCTCAAGGGACACATTCCACTGGCCCAGGTGGCTCAGAGGAACAGACACCACACTGGGCTGTGCTCAGGAACTCTTTTCCCCCAGAATTAACTTTCCTACACTGAAACAATATCCCTGACAAAGCTGATGCTGCCACACTCACCAGGGAACAGAATTTGCTCTGTGAGCTGACAAGAACTCCATTAAGAAAACAAGATAAGCATAAAATTTACTTCTTGGGCCTCTTTCTTCCAGGAGTGATGAATTGCTGCAGCTCTGCCAACAACCTCCCCTTGCGGTGCCTGAACAATCTCTTGACTATTTAATGCATTACTCAGCAGAGAGGAGAAATTAGGCAGGAAATCAGATCAATAACAGAGTATATGAAGGCAAAGAGCAGAGTTATTCAGGGACACTCAGACTCCATAACTCTCCCAGAGCTCTGCCTTACAAGCCCCATTTAAGTGATGTCAAACAACACGAAACACCAACAGGCTGAATTTCACAACAACCAAACTGGGTTGGGTCAATGTTGAAACCTTTGTTCATCACCTCAAGCTCTGAATTAAATGCAGAGACCCTGCACACCCTTCAGCAGAGTCCTTAACTACAGCAGCTCAGAAATTATTTACAGAACCATCACCAGTTACTCAGGAACTACAATACACCAATTTTCCCTTGTCATTCCCCCTCTTCTGCTGCTTAAGCAGGATTGTCAGGGAAAAAATGGCCCAGCTGTTTGACATCTTTCTCCTCTTTCTTTTCTGTTTTCTTCAACGTTGAGCACCAGCAAAACCTGCTGAAAACAGCTGCTCTTTGCAATGTGGTGGCTCTCCCAAGCAGAAGATCTGACTTGCCCCTTTCCTGGAAGTGGAACATCCAGTCCTGCTGATCACCAACCCAGTCAGGCTGATGGCATTTCCCTGTCTCCTGGCAGGCCAAAATCATGCACGTCGTGTGTCAGCAGAATTGAGGGAAATGAGTAAAGATCTTTTGGCACATCTGGCTGGTACAATAAATCCCTAAGCTGGTCATTTAATGTGACAAATATATCACAAACACACCCAGAACCCAGTGGGGAAACAAGTACATAAAGACTTCAAGGCCAAGCTCCTGCCTGACCAGCTTACAAATGTCCTGGTTTCCTTTCATGCCCAGGATCAAGGAGAACTACCCGTGGTGAGAATGAATGCCTATAAATAATAATTAACACCATTCAGCTTCAAAGCTTTTTACAAATACTGACTGCTCATTGCTCCTAAGAGCCCTGGGAAGCACTGCAGGGAAGTGTTTTATGAGAGAAAACAGGGCCACAGAGGCACAGACCTAATCCTGAGGCTCAGAGCAGCAGATCCTCTGCCTGCTCAGGTGTTTCTGACTTGGAGCACGTTCACTTCTCAGCTCCTGGCCCTGCACCAGCAGCTCCCCTGTGCTAGCAGGACAAACACTGCCAGGTCAGCACCCTGCTTAGAGGGCTCCTTGCATGCACGTTTGCACCCTCTGGGAAGTGTCAGTTGGCTGGTACCACAGTGAACAGGCGCCATGATTGTCCCGTTTAGGCTGTTTTAATGGCCTGGAAAGGCTCGGGATGGCCTTGGGGCAGCCCGCGCTCCAAAGGAGGAAAGGAGTCTTCAGGTTTTTCTGTCTTCAGTGTTGTTTATTAATTCTTATCTACAATATTTTCTCCCGGCCCGACAGAGGTCCGCACAGCACGTCAGCCATGAGCACACTGACTGCCCTCGGGGTGGTCACTTATCTTTACACCCAAAACTACGTATAAGATATTTACCTTTTCTCCCCAATACCTTTCACCCTTATTGACAAGTGCACATTCAGTAAGAACCGATCTCAAAGTGCCACCATCACCAC